TTCAGGGTAGTATCTAGTCGAGCACTCTCGACTAGAGTTTTCTTACTTGTTATAATTTTACCTTGTTATGAAATATTATTTAAATTATAGTCTAACTATCAATATACTCCATATCTTCCATAACTTCCTTTAAATACTGTAAACATGAAGCCTCACTAGTTTTCACGACTCATTTGACTGTAGACATTGGAAAAGCAGCTCTTAATTTATCCTAGAAAGTGTTTAAAGTTAGCGGTTTATTATTTTGAAAATTTTTGGTTTCTTATTTTTAAATGATGAAATTCTCATGCGCATGTCTATATGCTTGGTTCAGGCTTGTCATTGATCTATCGTCCGGTTGAAAGCTGAGTTTGAAATATTTGTATATTATATCAACAGTGAACTCCAATGTTGCAGACATTAAAGAAAGTAGGAGTTGAGAAATTTAATAGGCTATTTACTGCATAATTAAAAAATAATAGCTAGGAACTCTGAATAGATATTTGAGATTACATACACTAAATCAACCGTTATATGAGTTTATAATTCCTAGGTTGCATTGCTGTTAGAGATACTTCAAATGGATGTGAAGCATATTCTAATATAAAGAATCTCTTTTTATTCTGAGAAGAATCTCTTCTCTTATAATTTCAATAGTTAAATATACAAAATTTACTGACGCATTTATTTATAGGCACAACAGTTAAAACATAGTTTAGACATGATTACGGTCGAATTGAGATCCAATGTGCTTCAACACGAATCCATTGAGTGGTTCTGCTCAACATATTCCTTTAATGTTTGCTTGGAGTTGTTTAGCCAAATCGTATTTCTTGGAGGTGCAAATTATAATTGGCCAATAGCCAGTAGCAATTACTGTTGTTGCATATCAACACCTTGGCCACAATCCATCAATTCATCAGCAGCAACCCTTCTGGAGCTGCTATCCCCCTCTCCCCCTCTCCATCTCCCTCGCTGCTCGACTCGGCAGTGCATTAATTAACACCATGCACTGGCCGAGTGACTGGCATAATTGTGTGCACTGTCCATGCCAATTAATGTGTGTGAAATATTATCCATTGCAGATGCGTGGCCAAGAACCAGTACGCCAGCAGAACGCACCGCCAGTTCGTGTGGCTGGTGCGTGTCGAGCCGAATGCCAGCGGGCCACAGACAGTGGCCACAACGACAACGCATCTGTTGCCAGCCTTCCAGAATGCCACACTGTATGTGCCCACAGGAGGGTCGCTGCAGCTGCAGTGCCACGCGATGGAGGACTATGTGCCCATCGAATGGTGGCTGCAGCATCCGAACAACTCCCTGTCCCAGCTGAGCAACAATAGCATGACGCTGGAAATAACGAACGCCAGCATGGCCCGGCATGAGGGATACTACATGTGCACCACGCCCACAGACAGGCAGACGTTCCGGGTGATAGTCACCGTTCCGCCGAGAATAGTTAGCTCGCTGCCCGTGGAGCTGGGCTACATCAGTTTGTCGACAACGCTCAGCTGTCGCGCTGAGGGCAATCCGGAGCCCACGCTCAGCTGGTACCACAATGGAGCACCGCTAAACAGTTCCTATACGCGCTACATCAGTGGCAACGAGCTGTACATCCACTCCTTCGATCCGGAGGAGGAGGGCATCTATCAGTGTTTCGCGCGCAACGTAGCCGGCGAGGATTCCGTCACCGGCGAGATGCGCTTCAAGCACCAGCTAGAGCAGCCGAATCCGCTGCAGAACATACGCTGCTACCCGCACAGCTTCCACACCATCAATGTCACCTTTGACAGCCGCACCCTGGAGGTAATTTGTCAGCCAAATGGCAGCATCTGAGTTGAATCTAATTCGCTAATTCTGTGCGCCTCTCTCCGCAGTCGATGTTCGTGGTGCACATTGTGCGCAGCAATCCGCATCAGTGGAGCTCGTTTGCGCCCATGAAACTGAATCACACCTCGTTTGTGGTGATCTCAACTGGCCTGCCCATCTATCGTCCCTTTGCGCTAATCACCCGATTCCTGCTGCCCACCTCGGAGGTGCGCTCGGGCAGCTTAGTGCCACAGCAGATGATGATTAGCTCGCTGCGCAGTCCGGCCGTTGTCTGCTGCACCCAGGGCTGTAAGTTAATTAGCAGCATCCAGCTAATCCGACTTACATGTTAATCGCATTTCCCTTTAACGCAGTGCTGCTGCGGCTGGTACACCTAGGCAACGACACCTTTGTGAAGTGGTCGCAGGCGGAGCTGGACAACAAAAAGTATTTCATACTGCAGTTCTCCATCAATCACACCCATCCGCATCCCGCCCAGCTGCTGGATGGGCCGCTGCATGGCACCGTCACGGCCGTGGAGGAGAAGCCCGACGAGGTGCGTCGCCAGCTGACCATCATTCGGCCGCTCAATCAGTCGGCTGCTGCCACAGTGCTGCGCAATGCGGAGCACGAGGTGCTGGACAACGAGGTGGACGACCAGACGCTCGAAATAGAGGAGGACATCTTCAGCCTGGTGGTGGATGCCAACGTCACTGGCCTGCTCCTGCATCACTTCAGTCGCATCAAGATGCGTGTCCTGATCATCACCAGCGAGAACGAGTATCTCGCCCAGGACTTTCGCTACGTACAGTGGAAGATTGTGAGTAGACTGTACTGTAGTGGCAAGTTGGCCTCATCCGAGCCATGTCCGCCTCCCTTGGACACGAACTAAAGTCTCTTCCCTCTCTCTCTCTCTCTCGCACACACACCTTTTGTATTCCCTGCAGATCGAGAACGGCACATCGGATCAGGCCAACATGTCCTTTCGCCTGATTACCGTGGAGTCGCGCATGCTGGCCTTCCAGTTCCTGGACAGCCTCAATGACACCTGCGTCTACGAGTGCCACCTGCACGTGCAGCTGCCGCTGCGCAAGCAGGAGCCCAAGTGCAAGGAGCGCACCATTGTCAACTCGGTGCTGCTCGTCTCGGGTCTCAGTGCCAATGAGCGCTACAATTTCCACTTCTACAATTGCAAGCCGCAAATCTTCTACGGCGAAATGGATGTGCAGACGCTGCCAGACCGTAAGTCCCAGACATGCATAATCTCTCTCTATACAATATATGAATATTTTAAATATATTTAATTTATTTTTACATCATTTAGCGCCCGGCACTATCAGCAATTCGCGCGTGGTCAAGCACAATGGCCTGAAGCTTATATGGGAGCCACCGCTGCATCCCAACGGACGCGTCCATCACTATAACATTCTCTGGACTCTGGGCAATGTGACTCACGAGGCGAATGTGCTGGAGTGTCGTCCTTGCTTCTATAAGGTAAGGCAGGGGACAGTACATATCATACCATATTGAAAGCTGTAAAAGTGAGAGGAGAAGATAATATCAAACGTATCTAACTTAGATTTCATTTCCATTTCCTTTGCAGTTTCCCAATGTGTCGGAGACCGACAAGATTCATGTGGCCGTGCGTGTCGTTGGTGAGACGGGCGTGGGCGCGCCCATGTTCTTCGACCTGATCAATCATCACATACTGGAAACGGTGCAGAACTCGTCGAATCATGAAGTCTATAGCGGCATCGCCATCGGCTCGCTGCTGTCGATGCTTTGTGTTTTTTGCTTTGCGCTCTTCATCATATTTCAGAGGCGTCGATTCAAGGCACGCGCCCCGGGGCCAACGCATTTGGCCACGCCCACCGACATCAATTTCGGCAATCTGAGCAGTGCCTCGGGCATACCGGGTGACAGTGCCGGTGGCCTTAGCGGCAACACAATGCAGCAGGACTGCCACGAAATGCAGACACTGATTCCGCGCTCCCGCTACCACATCGAGCTGCTGCCCGAGCGCACGCTGGAGTACCAGACGAGCACAGCGGCGGCAGCAACGTTGCCGAATGGCAATGGCAATGGCAACGGCAACGGCAACGGAACGGCTGTACGGCGTTCGGATCAGGAAGCGCAACTGGACCTCACCATTGCGGGCGTGCACAACCTATCACAGCTGCCACTGTGCGCCGGCTCGCCGGAGCGTAAAACCGTGCAGGATGCCATGCTCCAAGAGGCAAAGGCCTTCTACATACCCTACCGCCACACGCCACCCAATGCAGTGGCGCTACAGGCAGGCGGCAGCAGCAACTCCAATGCCAGCCACAAGCAGAGCTCCTCAAAGAACAGCGATAGCGGCCTGGAGGTGGCAGTGCCGCCCAATTCGCTGCCGCTGGTGGCCACCGTGCCGGGGCTGGGCAGACGCAGCGGCAGCTTGAGCAGCAGCAGCGCCAGCAGCACCAGCAACGGCAGCAAGAAGCAATTCCATACAAATTTCGCGCGGCACTCGAATTCCAATGATGGCATCTGCCTGCTGGCCGAGGAGGAGTCGGCTGCGACGCTGACGCCGACATCGGAGCACGAGTACGCGTGTGTTAGTCTCACCAACGGTTTCAAGTTGCCCGCCGAAATGACAAAGCAAATGCCGAGCAAAAGCCAATTTAGCAACAACAATAACAGCAGCAGCAGCAGCAACCCGAAGTCAACTGCTGTACAGCAGAAGGATCGCCAGCAGCAGCAGCAGCAGCAGCAGCCGCCGACGTCGCAGCAGTATCCTTCTGCATCCATAGTTCCTGTCAACGGGCCACAGACGCACTCTGTGGGCGTTAAGAGCAAAAAGGCGACGACAATGGCCAAGCAGGCGTGGCCAGCGTCTACGGCTCTGAATCGGCGTGCCCAAGTCGATCCAAATGGCTGAACCTAAATAGCTGGCATTGTCGTCGTCGCCTCGCCAAGCAAAAGTATTCCATGAAGCTACTACTACACATACACATACACATACAATTCACTCTACACACACACATGCACACATGCACACATACACATTCGCAGCTCGAAACATTCCAAACATTGTGGATCCCTATATTTGCATTAGTTCAGTATAAGGACACACACACATACATACATAAGTATATGCTTAGTTATATGAAGTACATTTTATAAATGTATTTATTTATCTTTATCTCTATCCTTATCTTTATCTTCGAGAGCTAAAGTCGAACCATGAGAATACGGATAATATACGAGAATCTACGTACATAAGCAGCATATTTATATACATACATATATATATGTATATATACATGCACATATATACATATATATAAGAACATATTTACTTTAATTTTAAGCACATGAACGTTTTAAAGCTTGTTTAGTTTTTGTTTGTTTTCTTTTGTTAATTGAGGCTAACTATAATTATTATTTTAATTTGTAGTAAACGTTCTCTAATATGAATTTATTCAACTGCCGTAGTATTCTAATACAACACACACACATAGCCAAAAAGCCAAACAAATATGCAATAGCCCAGTTCATATACATATACACACATATTTATACATACATATACACACATACATTCACACTCACAATAGTCACAATAGTGTTCATAACGATTTACTGCAAATAATTACCCATATAAATAATTCCATTCATATTTAAGTAAAATATTGAATTTTCGCATTTAAATTGCTGCATTTTGCGTTTTGTTTGAACATTTTCCCATTGTTTGTTTATATTATTTGTTTAATTTTTGTTTAACCGATATATCAAATGTACCTGATTATATTCATTTTGCATTTCGTTAAGCGCTCATTTCCAGCACCGGAACACAAAGCAAACAAACAAACACGCATATTGCATTTCGATTCTATTTAAATAGACCTTTTGTTGATGCCTCACACGCATTTCCAATGTACCGCAGCCGTATTGAACGAGTCTATCCCAATTACCGACTGTACCTAGTTCGTACAAACAACTAAACCTCTAGCTATGTCACACACACACACACACACACACACACACACTACACTATACAATACGAACACATACACACATACAAACAACATCAGAAGATATTATATTTCTATAAGCATTGAAAGTTATATAAGATGTATTTAACATTGAGCTCAGAATTTAAAATGAGCTCATCTATAATATGTATTTTGTAAATTGTTGTTCAATGTTCAAAAGCCAATGTGAAAATTGTTATAAAATACACAGATACACGCATATACGCACACACACACACACATAGCCACACATCCAAACACGCAGACATTCCATTTCATAGACGTATTTAACTAGAGTACATGCATCAAATTATATTACTGAATGAAAACAGAAAACAAAAAAAAAAAAAGAGAGTAAAGAAAACAAGTAGACAAAAAGTTAAATTAGGCACGCGAATTCAATTAAACAATATTTGTACGATTCCATATTGAAGGAATGTGCTTAAGAACTGTAACTGTATACGTATTTAGATATAAGTGCAATAACACCCATTTAAACCATATAAACAAACCCGTCAACCCAAAACCAACCAACCAAACAAAGCTAAACGAAAACTACAAACAATAGTACCTTTCCCATTGGAAATGAACAAATAATATGTATAGAACAGTAAATAGATTACATTATGTGGCTTCCGCAATGGTAAATGCGCTTTCCTTGACGAAATCATAGCAATACGTAGCTCATTTACTTCCAAACTTCCCGAAGATCCTGTCTTGGAGTGCACTTACCAAATGTGTCCAACAATAGCCAATTCAAATTGTGTTCATATTGAAATAGGCATTTCAACTGCATTTCGAATCAACTGATATAGCATAGTCTTAGCACATACAAAACTTCAAAGGTGTTCCGTGAGACAACATTTAAGGTAAATAATTGAGGGCTCAGTAAACATTTTGATGATCGCATTGAAATCAAGCTAAAAAAATATTCCGTAAATGAACTCGAAATTCCTAAAACACAAAAAGAAAATTTTAAACAAAAATTAAATATATACGAAAAGAAATATTATGCAGCAAAAGGCAAATTATATGTATTTAATTCAAACAATATATAAAAGTAGATCTTAAGAAGTACATTTAAACAAAAGAAGAGAAGGAAAATACCACGATAAGAATGTGAAATTAAAAAAAAATTAATAACTGCGATTGTGATCGCTGTGTAAGTGGATGTGATAAATGTTTAAAATATTTAAGCGCAAAAACAATAAAAAACAGTATGAAAATAATTATTCGATGGCATAAAAATGCGTATTGCGAGTTTTACATAGATGTTTTTGGCTAAAGCGAAACGAAAAGAAATGAAAAAGAAAACAAAAAAATACAATAACTAAGAGAGTCCACTAAAATTGTAAGGAAATTATGTTCTTAACTTTTGGATAATGCTGATCCTAATCATTATTTGAACTAGGCATGTTCTGTACGTAATTTTAGTTTGGGTCTTAAGTTCTCATTGTGTATACCTCATTAGTTGAGTGGAAATTAAATTGTAACTATATTATATGCATTTAGTTGGTAGCCCCATCTGTAATATATATTTAATTCTAAATTGCTTCAATTCGGACGAAAGATAAAATTGCAAATAGAATCGAATGTATTTTTTATGTAATTTATATACATTGTATATGCTACAAAAATATTATTGTATCAGATGTGGAAACTCGGCTGGCAAATATGCGATATATGAGTTATATATATATTATATACACACATACGATCGTGTTAAAGTTTTCGGTGCCAGTAATTTGACATAACAACCAGAAATTAGCGCGGCTACAGAGTCTAATAATATGTAACGATGATTATATACATACATATATATATATACGTGAAAAGGTGAAGAACGCTAGAAAAGCATCCTTAACTATTGGAAAGAAAAACAAAAATATATTAAAACTAAGTTATGACAACAAAGGAATTAATACAATTTGCATTTTTATTAACTATAAACGTTAAACGTAATTTTATTGGTAAGTATATACAATAAAACAATCTTAACTGTAAATCTTTAGTAACTCTCAGTACTTAACAGGTGTGTATACAATATCAAATGGACATGATATCACTATCAATGCCCATAAATTTTAATTTAATTGTTTATTTCGATGGTAACGTTTAACGGTGTTGTCCATTTACACAAATATACAGCATTTTTGACTTCAGCAAAGTTGTATAAATATATAAATCTTCCCCCACACATATAGAGCTTTCACGGGGCTATGGTATATGCTAGGTACCTGTACAGTACTATTTATAATAGAATATGATCACATCACAACTAACTGAACAAATGATCACAATACAAAATCGCAAAAGTTGCCATAACCTACATACATATATATATTTATATTTACATCTATATAAATGAATTGAGTTTAAGTGCTAAATGGCATGCTGAAACGCATCTTCTTGAGTGTCTGATTGAATGAGGAAATCTTTGAAACGAACCTTTCGCTCTGCCAAGATCTGTTAGCGCTATAGCCGAGACAGATCTACTTAACTCTATATTCAAGAAAATAAAAAACAAGAATCAAAATTTTAAGTAAAATTTCCATTGAATGAACCAATTAAAAAGCAAAAATAAAAAAAGCAATACAATAAGCTATGCTATGCTATGCACCATAACAAGAAGAAGCGCTTGGGTACGCATAATTATCGGGCAACTTATAGTTGTAAGCCTATTCACATATCGATTCCAATTAATTGAGGTCCTGATGCATGTATGTAGCATACATATATGGCTAACGCTAATTGATGGGCAGCTCAGCACACCTTTTTAATCATTTTCACCAACTCTTTGTACAGAATGCAGTCCCGACTGCGCGGCTTGCAGATCTCGCGATGATCCAGCCGTATGCCGCATACTTCTCCAAAACCGGGATCTGTTTAATGTGTTAAAGCATAGATTAATTATATAATATGTGTGATTAGCTTATCAATCCAACTCAGCTTACCGGCTGAATCCACGCCCACGATTCGTAAATAGAGCACTGACATGAGCGTCAGAGCGGTTTCAACAAAGCTAAAGACTTCGATCTTCAAATGACCCAAGTGATAGAGGCCAGCAAAGCGACGATGCAAATCCAGCAGATACTTGTTATCTATCAAAAAAGAGTTAAATGCATATAAAAGAACTGGTATCGGGTATCGTATCATAGCACAGCATCGACATACTCTTTTCTATCTCTAGCAGCTCCACGGAGCGCGATAACAGCGGCGCCTTGATCGAAGCCAAATGGGAGCCACGGTGCGGCACCGAGTAGAAGAAACAGCCTCGCGCAGATTGCCAGAGCGGCCTCATGGCCGGACGACCGCACTCCCAGGCATCCACGAGCAGCTGCTTGATGAAAAGGCCTCCCTTCGAGTGGCCCACGTAGATGATGGGATGCCCGTGGCCGACGCGATGCTGGATGAGCAGTTCGGCCATTTCGCGCGAACGCTGAATCAGGCTGGAGCGCGGCTCTTTAGTCTTCCACAGCGGACGCCACAGATAGGGATCCGTTGTATAGTTGACAGCTATGACCCTGACGCCCGGACAGTCTAACGGCAGCCAGTCCCCGGGCCAGCACTTGGAGTAGTTGGGGTCATTGGCGGAAGGCTTCTTTTTGCTTTTGCCGGCAGATTTGCGCGTCGTGGAGCTGTCCATGGTGGCGCTGTTATTAGTCTCGGCCTGCAGCATCGACTCCAGCTCAGCTGGCAGCGCCTGGCTGCTGTCGTGCATGCGCAGGCGGAATGTTGGGAAGCTGTACTCGATGCCTTCACATATTTGAATATCCTCCGGGTCCCCGCAGACGTAGGCATAACTGTGGGAGAAATACGAATAGGTGAATGCCCTTAAAAAATAACTAAATATTTGACTTCTACTCACTCTTCGGCAATGTCGTTATCGTCGGAAGCTTTACAGAGATGTGGCTCAGTCGTTTGTTGCACTGCTTCCCGCTGCCAGGTTCCATCTACGCTTGTGGCATCTTCATCCAGGCTGCGACTGCAGGATGCGAACTTGGCGCGTTTCTCTCGAGGCGCTGGATGTATTGCGGCGCTGCGGGAATAACGCGGTCGCTTGGGTGGACGCACCGGTGGCCGGGGCGGACGATCGAACTCCACCGGATGACGTTCGTTTTGCCACAGACCCTGGCGCCACGTGTTCACCAGCGAGCCGTGCAGGCCATGCACAAGCACAATGTCAGCGCGTATGGGAGTGCCCGGCGCCGGCTCGGCAAGAATGTTGAGCGTGCAGCAGCTGGAGGAGCTGGAGCTTGAGCTCTGAAGACTGTAGATAGGCGGCCCCTGCAACAGTGTGCTGGGCGTTGCGGGCGTATTAGGCGGTATGGGTGTGATCGGTATACGTGTGTTGAGCGTATCTGGCAGAATTTCCAAGCCATCTTGGGACTTGCGCAATTTGAGTAAATTGAGCAACGGCCCCAGACGATTGGAAACTGTTAATGGAAGAGATTGCGGGTTGAGCGATAAGAATTTGATATAAAAAGCTGAGAATGGCGGTATGAGTACGATGAACCGATGAATAATTGGGTAACTGAGGCCATGCTATACACTTCAAGTACTAACCTTGCACGGAAGACAGATTCAGCGATAACGTGTTGGCAGCGAATGCCACCAGGTTGGTCAGCGCCTGGCGGCTAGAGGTCAGATTCTGCAGGACTCGTAGCACGCGAACGTCGCGTATGCCCTTAATGCCGCGGGCGACGCCATTGGCCAGAGGCAGCACCAGGCGCACCAGGACGCCAAGGACGACACGCATGCTGCCGCTGTTATGGCTGTCACATGGAGAGAAATGGACATGAGTATATAATTATGCAAGGTATTAGGCAAATACTTACGGTACCATCAGGGCGCCGCCACTGGAGGAGCGCACCAGCTGATTGATCGCCTGCTCCTCCTCCTGCCGGTCAATTTCCATCTCCTCTTTGCCATTGCTGATTGCTGTATTGTCCAGTGCCTGATCAGTGGCTTGACCTGCCGTTTGGTCAACTTCCTCGGCTATGCTCATCATCGCAATGTTGCAGACGTAATGCTCATCTATTGACTCAAGCTGAGACTCCTCACTGTTACTGTGGTTATTGTTGTGGTTGTTGTTGTTGTTGCTCTTAGCTGTGTTCGGCTGAATGTGTGTGCTGCAACTGTCGCTCACTCGTAAATCAGCGCTGCTTATTGCACTGGCTTTGCTTTGGGTATCGCGTGTAGTGAACATATTTTTCAGTGTTCTCTATTGGCTATTCGCCGTCTCGATCTGCGCCGCTGGCTTGCTGCCAATTAGCACAGACTCAACATGTTGCCAGTGAAGGGCCGCACACTAAACTGCAAATATATTTGAATTCAACTTTAATCATATGCACTCAGTTGGCTGCCAATGTCAATGTCAATGCGCTGCACTCCTAGTGCATTCAGTACTTTGCACTCGTTTGTCTTCCCCTTTTTTTTTTTGTTGTTGTTTACCACGCAAAAGACGGTGTCTAAAAATATAGGCGCACTAGCGCAGAACGGGGCTGAATCAAAACAAGTATACGACTCGTGTGCCACGAATATCTAAACAATCAGTCTAACGAGTAAAACGAACTGCTAATAGCTAATTCTCTCTCCTCTATTCCCTCTATTTCGTCGCCGAGCTATGGAATTGACTCAATTCACAAACAGTTCTCTACAGTATTTAAAAAGACATATTCGACTCTGGTAAGCCACCTACTATGTTCAAAATGTTTAAAAATATTACTAAAAAATATACAACAATTTTAAAATTTTGGCAAAAAACAGTTCTCTTTTGAATATTATATAAAAGTTAGAAAAGGTAATTCAAATATTTATATAAAGTGTAAGTGGGGAATTTTTAATCTTGTTTCTTAAGTCTTGAATCCTTGGTTTTCAAACTTTTTTATCTTATTTTACATATTTTTTATGGATTTTCATCAGCTTAGGGTGGATTGCTGCTCCCATCATATAGAAACCCAGCCATGATAGCACGTCTCACAAAAGAAATTGCCAATGCTCGCTAAGATGCAATGCCAGTTAGTGCCGTCAGTCAGACTGCATATGCAACAATATTACTCATACGAGCCGTAAGCCCGCGGCCCATCACATTTGCAATTTCCCCGCTGCGTTTTCCGTTAGATAACCAGCCACAGCGACCAGAAGGGCAACAAAATCTAAGCATGTTACGTTGACTGCTCTGCTGTGCCTCAAGCAAGCAGCAAAAATTCAAGTTGAGGGTCGTTACATGGGGCACGACACACAAATACGGAAAGGGCAAAGCTTGTTGCATGTGTGTCAGCACAATGGCTTTTGTTATTGCAGCACCTTTTGTTGTTGTAAATTGCACTAATAGTCCGCAGAGAGTGGCACGAATAACTGTACATCTTAACAAAGCACAACTGACATTTGCATTAGAATATGCATGCGAATCGTAATTACGAATCGGACTAGGATCGCATCACTATATCTCAACTGATCGGGAGAGCAGCCGCCCACTCGTATTCCAATCGCACTGGCCAAACAGCTCGACTTACACGTACTCGTTTCGCTTGGGCCAACGAGCGAACCGCGAATCGCGCACCGTGCACAATGCAAATCAAAGTAGAACTGCGACCGGCACCTTCAGGCAGCCGAGGCCGAGGCCCCGCAGCGCCGGCAGCAGTCGCAACAGCCGCTAATGCGCACCACGTTCGCTCGTGGCTCAGTGGTTGAGTGGTTCCGTTGAGTGGCTGTGACGACAGTGAAAACAACTCAAATGTCATTCAAATGGGGCTAGCACTGGTATCGTGCTTCAAGTGCCGCCAGCTGCACTGCGTCAAGAGACACGAGTCAATTGCAATCAACTGCAGACAATTGCAGGCATATGCTGATTTCTTGTCGATTTTATAAATAACCAATTTAGAGACACAATGTGAACTAAAAGGTTTCATCGGCTCTTATCGCTGTGCCGACTTATTTCTGGCGAAATGTCTAATTGCAAAATATCTTTCTTTTACCCATTTGCTGATTAATTGAGTTCATTTTGATCGTATTAAGATAAGCCTATTTCGATTACTTTAATCTATATGAATATTTGATTGAGCAAATGCGTTGGGTAAATTAAACCATTTTTAATTATGAAAGAAAGATTTTCGATTCATTTTGTGATTTTCACAATTATTTAATAAAGCGAGAAATTTCTTGAAAATCTCTCTCGTATTTCTCTCCCTCTTTGTTTATATCTTGTATCTTTGTTTATTTCTTATCTCTCCTTTTCTTCTCCTACTTGCGCTTTTTCTTCTCACTCTGTCTTTTTTTTGGTTTAGTATCTATCTCTTTCTCTCTTCCAGTCAATGCTTTACTCTACCTCCATTAGTCATTTTGTTTATTTTTGTTCTCTCGAGTCTAGACTGATGAAAGAGCACTAATTCTCCTACACGATAACACACACATTTATGCTCTATAATACATTTTTATGAATAATATTTACGTATGTATTATTGAAGTACTTCTAGTTTTATGTGATATCATCAAACAATCACATGTATTGATAAGCTGACAAATTTGAACAGAATATTTTAGATTCGAGCATTTTTTTATTGAGCTTAAACATAAGTTGATAAACTCACAAAACAATAAAGGGTATATTAAAGTAGAGCACTTTTTTGTGGCATTTCTATTTAGAGTTTTATCGCTTTGCCAGTGACTGATAAGAGCGGTGCTACTGACCCATTGGCACAGGTGGCACACGGCAGCAGCCGTTCCCGTTGACGAGCTGAACTTTAATTAATTATGCGGCATCAAGTCAATTGGCTCGAATAATTTATGCCTTTATCAATGGGTTGACGCAAAATAGATGAATTCAGTCATATGCGACGGGCCACATGTCCACCAATTTCCCTTTATCTAAGTCGGGATCCGTAAAATTTGGCATTGGGTAATTCTAGTGAACCTGAACTGCTACGTAGACAATTGGCAATTGGCTATCTCAAGTGCATGGCTTTATTTTATGGCCGAGCGAGATAAGCAGACTGATAAAGCGGAACTATACTGCAGTTGGTCTATCGAAAACAGCTTAAAACTTATGCAGCCTATGAGCTATACTAAGGCTGCATTCATGGGCAGCATAAACAAAAGCTTATCGTTGGCAATTGTCAATGATATTGTGCAATAAGTTATAGTCGACAGAGCTGAGGTGAAGGCAGTGTAGTGTCTTTTGTGCCATTGAGTTATGCAAATGCATGCAGCTTTGTAGATAATTCTAAAAACAATACAATTTTCATTAGCTTTGGATGAGTAGTTCGAGTCGAAAATAAACAAATTATAAATATTCGAAAGTGAGCACAGAGCTTATCAACAAATTGGTTTTTCCAAGTGTGAATAACAGGAGTTGACTAAGATTTGAACTTGTTACAGTTAACGTTGTCGTTAATTTGCGAATATATGTATAAATAATTTTTAATGTAAGCAAACGAAATTTTTCGGCTAAATTTAAGGTGTGGAGGTGAAGTGAGGTGACGCTGCTTTCGAGACTTTGTTCTGGATATACACAGTAGTTCCGAAAGCTCTTGCCCCAGTCGCCGTTGTTGGCAGCCATGCACAGTATAAATTATTAATCATATGCCGTGTGGACTTTGTACTGCAGCCGAACAACGCGGCGTCTCTTTATCGAGAGTCTGTCGCAGTCGCAGTCGCAGTCGCAGTCGCATTCAGTTTTTATTCTCGCTGTCTTTTATCACAGAATACGGCGTAATAAGGCCACTAGGCAACTGCACTTCCAGATGGTTAAATAAATATGCGAAGGCGCTGCCATCAGTGATTCTTTTGTTATTGGTTTCCGTTTTATTTTTATTTTTTAATTTTTGCATGTTAGCTGATTGCTTTCAATGAAGTATTTAACAAGAGTTGATTCGTTTGCCAATAAACGGCGTGCTTGAATTTATTAACTGGAAATCGGGTGGCAACGCGATATGAAACGAACCCATCAGCCAGTTAGCATCGTAATTGAATGGTCGCATGTAGCTGCCACATGAGCCTCACATAATGTGTGCATGCTAATAAACATGTATGTATGTATATGTATGCATATGTGCGACATTGCATGCCAGCACGGCCAACAAGTTCACCTGCCACTCAGCCAGCCTCGTACAATGACGCCCACGCAACGGCAGGTGTCGAGTGTGCAATAAACTGGAACGACATCAAATCGGAATCCAAGCGCCACAGCGCAATTCTGTTACATAATCTAGTTCAGTTTTTTCAAATGCCTCTACTGATTCCAATAGCGACAAACGATTTCGATTCACAAATATGACTATAAACTGAAATATACTGTAATTTAGGTATTTGTAGCATATAATAATAATTAAAGTCTTCAATTACACTGTCATTCAGGTTACGCAATTTGCATCTACCCTAAAACCGCGATATACATTCTACATTTCAAGCATGGGGAATTCTATACCGAAGGGCGTATTGAGCTTACTTTTGCTATTATTATTTGTTATGAGAGAAATTCGAGTTTGAATTCGCTCAACAATAACAGCTAATGATAGCCATTCGAGATAGGGCACGATAAGCATGCGTCGCTTCACAGCAGAGACAGAGTTTCAAATTCATAGAATAATTCGGAATCTGTGTTCCATGATCCGATTCACAATGATTTGTTTTGTGCCAATCGACTGTGACTACTCGAACAAGAAAAAACCAATTTACATCACTGCCATCATCATCAATATTCATAATTTATATATGGATCCATTAGGCTCAATTAAGCTTTAGAGAAGTCGTTCGATCGATTTAAAGTCCAAAATCAAAATAGAAAATAAAATCAATTGCCACTAATGAATCCACTACATTCGAGACGTGAAAAATACTTGAAAAGATTCTGTTCAATTAGTATATATTAAAAACCAAAAAGCTTTATATAAATGCGGGTAAATAATTAAATATTTATAAACAGAAAGGCAAATTAAGCCACAAAATATATTAAAGTTGTTCAAGTGAGGAACAGGTTTATGTAGATAATTGCATCACACGAATATAATGTGTATGTATATGTAAAAGTAACTACTGCCAAAATATATATAAATTTATAAAAAATATGCAAGCAAAAAACTATATAGCAAAAATAAAGTAAATTAAGTTATTTTTCAATCCTTTAATTACGTCTTTTAAATGCAACAATAAGTATCCTAGCAATATTAATACCATTATCAAGAAGCCTACATATGTACATATACATATATGTACATATATGTCTATGTCTCCAAAAAATATAAATATTCACAATCTATTTATACAATTTAATTTGTGGATCCATTTCACCTTTGTTAATTTTTTCTTAATTATGATCTATCAGCAATCTCAAACAAGTTATGCTAAATCTGAAAGCATTGATTTATGTATATAAAGACCCACAGACAGAAGTGTGTGTCTATGAGTTTTCGTTTATATCAAGCTATGTAGCCAACATCAGGCCATGTTATAAGGCATACATTATAATAATTTTTGATTATATATATATACATGTCTTTTCTTTTTGCTACCATGAGGAACAGAATCATAGCTCGCAGAGCCTTGGGCCTCTAAGAGACCGTGTCTGAATCGTTAATGAAGTGGTTTTAGTCAACCAATGGGTGACATGATTAAATCGGTTGGCTCGTATGATATCACTTATAGTATGTACAGCATGTACAGCGTGTACAGCAGCGCAATCAAACAATTCCCTAATCGACTTGACTATTTCGCATAGACAAAAGAAA